ATCTGTTGACGCTCTGGTCATGTTATTAGTCTAGTTGCACTGAGCAGTGAATTTGGAATAGTAGTGAAATACACTCATTTGCAAACTAATTTGGTTTTGCGAGAGACTCACCTGGAACCCAGCTGAATCTCTCGTTTGTGATGTTTCCAGGCAACCGAATGTGTTGCGCCAGACCACCTCATGTTTCCGTCGTTACGATATTCGAGATATCGCGATACATGTAAATCTTTGTAATGTACTACTCATATGGTTGCTGTCGACGAATTTTCAGCAACCTAATGAGTAGTGGAATTATAGTGGTTTAGCGGTGCAAAAATTAGTTTTACACCTGATTATCGCGAGCTGAAGATAGTTCAAGGATAATTTAGCCAATGAGAAGTCTGAAACTACACTTTTGAATTGAAAAAAGGTAAAACTCGGCCTTGCTATCCGGTTGCCACGTGTTGCACTAAATTTATTCGGGGAATAACGAAGGTTTTACCAAATTGAGGAGCCTGGTGACTTGGAAAACAAGTCGTCGGCAGCAAGAGACACCAAAAAGCATCATTTAAATGGATGTCAAGTTGATCATCTAATTTCCGGCATTAAAACGATCGAAGCTCCGGAGAAATTTCGGTTTGACCCCGGTAACTAAGCGCGTACCTCACTGCGTCACAGTTCCAAGTATGTACCATATCTCGTTTCTTCACGCCTGTAGTATGTACCAAATGGGATTACCTCATAGGCAGAGCCCCCTGGGACACGTGTTGATTGGAATGACCATGGTCAGGTAGGTAGCGGTCTGAAGACCGTTCTAAGAAATGCACTTGTCATCCCAGACGTGACTAACTTCACTTTACAGGGGCACTCAGTCGCAGCGGCAACATACACAAACAGCGGTGAACAGAGAGATACATATTGGGTTGGTGGCCACTTGGAAGTAGTTTGTGAGAAAGTAAAGAAAGCATTACCTGTGCATTTTAAAATGTGGGATCTCGGGAGACATAATGTACGACCTTCGGGTTCATCCCTAAGGACAATTAATCCGGCTAAATCTGAATATCACCTGAATTACTTGAGTCAATTTTATATGGACTTTTCGACCACGTCCGAAATTCACAGGTTGCTTGTTGTAATCTGCAACTGTCTTTCCACAGCACGATTTATGGAAGTTCACGGCATTGAATATTCAAGATCAACGGGGCGCGAACATAGAGGGGTTAATTTGCTTAGCGTAGGAACTACGTTTTAACCAATTTTTCCGTACACTGTGATATCGATTTTGTTTTACTGCGTGAGCGCGAATCAGCCTGCTGGCGTGTGCATCAGCTGACTAGACAAAAGGACCAATGTGAGTAGATTTCGTGGACAATATCGATCGAGCCTCTGTTGTGGTCACATGACTCGTTGATGCCTCGTCTAACTGGCATCGGTGTGCGCTCTTCTTCCCATGTTCCAGTCATTATACCAGGACATATTTTCCAGGTCTCACTTGATACCGCAACTGTTCTGGTGAGTTTTACAACTAGTGGCGGCGCAGTGGAGTGTGATGACTCCAGCACAATTGTTCGATCGTCTTTTACGCAAGAAAAGTCAGTCACTTTGTGTGAGGACAAAAGAGCTGCTCAAAAGATGGCATATATGCGAGAACAATTCTTGCTAGCCTGGTGGAAAGCAGACACCCAGAAGAAAAAAAAACAAATCAAGCTCACCAAACTAAAACCGGGTATGAGGTTTGCGAAGGTCACCAGGCGAGTAATCATGGGCTCGATTTCTCGAGATAATTCTGAGAAGGCGCTTGAATAGAATGTCCGCGCTTGCGTGATGTCTTCTTGATGCACATCATCCAGCTGTTACAAGAAAGTCAATCGATAAAAGATGGATGAATGGAGACAAAGTGGAGGAAAATTCGTCAGCAAAAATGGGTTCAGATTAGATGCGATTTGTAAGTGCCCGACGATACAATTCGCCATGAGTGTACCAGAAGTAAATCCGGAACCGCTACGAATTCTTCGAAACAAGGGAAGCGTTAGCATACGAATGGGGTCACCGGGGACATCCCCGGCACCTTTTCGCCCATAGTCTCTGAAATCATATGACATATTCAGTTATCTTCATGAAACTGCGGTTGGAATGCTTGTTCATTTGGGAACTTTGGAAACCAAGGAGCATACGATCGGCGCAAATTATTTTCGTTCTTAACTTGGACACACATGTTCTTTCTAAACTTTCGCGGAAGCGCATACAAGTCTAACGAGAACGTCTTGCGCATTCCAAAACCCATCTCTTACTTTTACCCTTCGCAGCTTCGTTGTGTAGATATCTCGTTGATACCATTCCAATATCTTTTATGTTGGCGTCTATTCTTCGTGAACGAAGATGCTACTGCGGCGTTTGTCAATAGACAGGGAGCAAATTTTTCTCCAATCGAATACTCCGGAAATGCAAGTCGAGAGGCAGAGGTCGGGTTCGAACCACGGACCTCCCGGTCAGTAAATTCGCGTTCTAACCACTGAGCCATCTCGCCCCCATTTGCTTGCACTTATGAAGCCGTTTGAAATGGAGCAAGCAGTGCACACTAGAGATCTTGGTACGTAGTGTTGGAACCTAAGCCTCGTTTGTCAAGATCGGCAGCGGCAATTGTATCTGATTGGTAAAAAATTTCATCACAGGGAACAAAGTCCGTGCTCTTATCTCCATTGCCTCAGTTTACCACACAAAGCCTACTAATTTACTGAAAATCAGACTTAAAACACAACTTTTTCTGTATGAGAGTGTCGATATGGAAAACGTTCTTCCCCGTCGGGTCGGTCTACGATAGAACCATTCAGTACTTTTAAGGTTCACTCCAAAACTACAATGCAAACTATCCTCATACCGTCCAGTGGAAAATATCTAAACTAAAAAATAACCGTTAAGCACTAAAGCCCTTTCCATTAAGAGTTACCACGCAGTCACTGGGGCGGAGATAGCAGTCGTTCACCCAAGCCCATGTAGGAACATTTAAAATGTCCGGGTTGGGTTCGAACCATGGTCAGTAAGTCCGTGCCTCATCTAGTGAGCTATTCAGCAAGCACGATGAACGTCTCCAGTCAAGAGATAATTCCACGGGCACGGATGTTTTATTAAACCAAACTTTGCCTGTCGAAATAATAACCGAAGATACTACAACTGAGGAAACCGATAAAATCATTTGTATTTTTATCATCTACAGGAGTAAACCTCAATTGATAGTTACCGAATTTCCTCACGCTACCAACAATCTGTAGTTTGATGGGAGTGAGAACCTCCATTTGAAAAGTTGTCACTCGAAGAGCCAGTCAATACGTGACCACGTGACGTGGTTTCCTATTGAAGGTTTCCACTGGTTGGCTGATCAGCAGTGTAATTAACACACCCTTAGACAACACATAGCGCCAGCCATTCTGAAATCGCCGAACCAACATCACGTGGTCACGTGTCGACTGGCTGGCTGTCCGAATGACAATTTCTCACAAGCGAGGTTAACTAATTGTGAGCTGCTAGAGTAACAGCATATACTACTTATGAGGCATGCGGGTAGTACGTAGTTTCCTCGTAACTCCGCGTCGCGTCTAATGGAAGGTGGGGTTTGTTACGGAACCTATGTAAGTGCTTTTCAGCGTTCGTTTGCAATTGGGTGATCGTCAATGAGTACCCACGAACCTTCAAGGAGACGCGTGTGGATGTCCATTTTTTAAAAATAAGATGTTTACTTCCCTATTTAGTTGGTGTTTGCCAACAAACAACTCCACGGCAAAAAGATTTCCACCTTGTGCTAGGAGGGAAATTAGAAATTTCAAGTTGCCGAGTTGCTGTCAGTTAACTGCTCTCCCTACAATCCCTCAGCCTCTTTTCCAAAAATGGTCATACAATCAAATTACTAGCGAGACGAAGCACAAAAGTCGGTCGCATAATAATCTACCTTCGATAAAAACCCCGTCACTTTGGCATCCACGAGGCTTTGAACAACTAGTTTACCTGATCCATCCGAATCGGCCTTGATGAGTTGGTTCACGAAGCCAAAATCTGTGGTCTCTTTGCCGGTAGCCGCGCCGTCCGGGCTGGTGTACATAGACTGAAGCTGAAGAATACACATGAAGATTGGAGAAAAGACTGATGGGTCATTCATCGGATAAGTAGGAAAACCTGGGTGAACTGGTGGTTAGTTAATAAATAAAAAAGTCAACAGTTTATCGTTCAGCTGTAGCACCCTTCTGGTGCCCAGCTGCCACGCCACCCGAAGAAAGCACGAGGGCTGGGATACGGCCAGGTTGCTCACGCGTAGACAGAGGAAGTCGAGAGGCGGAGGTCGGATTCGAACCACGGACCTTCCGGTCAGTAAATTCGCCGACTTGTGGATTTTGGTGGACCGTAAAGCGGTGGTCAGATTGCACTTTTGGGGCACACTCGATACCAATGACCTTGCATTTAATGGTTCACCACCTACCAACTTCAACTTTACTTCTACTCACACTATCGACCTGACGGTCAAGACTCCCATCTAGCTGTCGATTGATCTTGTGTAGGTAATCACTCTTGTTCATAACGATAATGGCCTTAGCCTTATCCGCCTTTATGATCACTGTGTTGTCCACCTGTTTTAGGGTGCCTAACGCTTTTTGGTCTGCTGGTGTAATATTTGGAGCTCCTGGCTGCTGGGACTTCAGGACTGTGATCAGCTTTACCCTTAGCTTTTCTGCCTCGATCGGCGAAAGTTCTTGAAACATAGATTCACCGCTAGGAATTGTTTCTTCCACAAAGCTCTTCCTCACTTAGCGGTCTGTCTGATAAACTTATCACGCTACAGTAGCTGGTAGGTGGCTCAGTCTTCGTTTCAGGGTCACTAGAATGCTGAGTCTTGGAAATTAACTTTTCAAAATTACGTATTTTTCCTCTTTGCAGTGTTGTCCTTGGACGGCTTTCACTTTTATCGATTTGGTTTTGAGCAACCGGAAATCTTAGTTAGAAAATTCTGTCGATATTTTTCGACCAGTAACTCCCTCTCGTCCTTCCGGGCTGGTAGTCATGTCACGAACAGAACCTTGAGTCACATGACACTCAAAGCATTCAGGTAGGACGAACGAATACTGTTTACGGTGCTGCACGCCACGTGACACACATGATCGAACAGACAGTGGTTTGTGACTGAGTAGAACAATCCACAAGTAGTCTCACCCAAAGCAAACTAGGCTGCAGTTAACAATTACGGTTGTCTAGATAGCTAGTTTGGAACGACACAGTATCTTCTAATTTTCCGACGGCTGTGTAGATTCTGTCACTCATATCTTGCGGCACCTATCTCTCTCCATGTGGAGGTTATGTCAGAGGTCCGATCGATCGTTTTAATGTCCCTGTCGTCAGCAAGCTCATGTGAGATAGAACAGCACTAGATACTCTCCATCTCCACCACTCATGTCGACAAGAATGCTGACGCCTACTACTTCTGATGGCTGTCCCTGACTACCGGAAGAGAAAAAAGCAAGAACAACATCAGGACTGAGGGATCTGCTCCTCTCCCCCGTGAACGGCTACTTCATTGAATTCGACAAGCCCGTCTAAAAAGGACATCTACAAACAAGGTGTTCAACTAGTCAAACTTCTCCTTGTTGTGCCTTGACGGCACATGGAAAATAAAAAAACAAGGAATCTGTTATACAAACGCCTACCTCCGTTTCCGAGAATTCACTGTGGATCGTGTTGTATGCCTTCTCTAGGACTTCCACAAGAGTCTGATCTTCTTCAGTCCAAGGGGCAGTAGATGACCCCGGGGCGCCGGTTTCCAGTTTCAGGGGCTCCAAATAGGGGTTCGATTGCGAACTGGTTAAAGCGGCCGGTGTTGAACTGTCTGCGGTATTCATCGAAGGAGACACATGTTGGTGAACGAACGCCTCCCCCATTGGCATAACGTTAACTTTCGGTGTTGTATCTATTGGAGACAGGTGAGTAACATTTGGACTACTGTTTGTCGATAGGGAGTGTTGGGGATAGCCGGCCATACCATTTACATGCATTGAGACATAGGCGCCCTGGTTCTTACCATTTTGATTATCCGATGGAGGTAGTGAGTTTAGCCATCCAGATTGCAACTCATGTTTGCCTGTGACAGTGAGTGCATCTAGTCGTTCTTGTGGTTGGTGTTTTAAGGAACCCCAGACCGGTGGGGGGCCGTGCTCGAGATTTTCTACTGGTGCACTGATGTTGTGTGATGGTACCCCGATTGTTGGATGTCTCGGGAGTGAGGATAGATGACCGGGTGAGCGATGTTCCGGTATCGCGCTGTTCGTTGGATTGTTCATGAAATTTTCGGTTGGCTGATGAGAATTTGCACGGTGAATCGGTTGACATGGCGGTCGTTGGGTGGATTGGATAGGCATCGCCGATTGTCCTAAAGCTATTGGGTCGTAAGAGGCGGGGCGTTGGTAGTGAAGGGGATGACCGGAAGCCATCATTATCGATTGTGATGGGTGTGGTTGTGCATGATGGTTGGGCATTAGAGCGACAGGTTCGTTTGGATAGCCAAACGGAGTGCCCAACTGCCGAATTTGGGAAATTGCGGGTTGGTAGGAGTCAAAAGCCGATGAGGCGGAATGGAGCATACCACCGGTAGACGGTACAGGCACGTGTCGTGATCCCGTGTGAGGCCGTAGAGGGGAACTCTCAAGGTAGGATTGTTTTGATGGGCTTGGGCCTAAAGACGATGGTACGGTGGAGGAGGCTGAACTTTGTCCCCCATGCAAAGCACTTTCAGATTCGGCTCGTTTTCGTGCCCGGTTCGCTTCGATCAAGCGTCGTTTCGCCAAACGTTTTTCCTCATCCAGGACCACTTGATAAGAAAAAAGAATATCGAACGAGGAAGACGTGATAAAGCAGTAATGAACAATGCAGCTTTACTGCGATTCACTTGTTTGTTCGAAAAATAAAGCAACATGAATCTGGAATAAAACTAGGGTAGCAAATGCCACTACCACTGTGTGTGACGGAGCACAAGTGGTGGACAGTGGATCCTCAACCTGGAAAGCGGGCCGCATCGAAAACACCGAGATATTACCCAATCACCCTAGAGGCCTTTCGCGATTGGTTGGTATGGCAGTGAAGCATCGGTGTTGAACACTGATGCCATGCTGTTGATGATGATGATGATAATGATGATGATGATGATGATGATGATGATGATGATGATGACGATGGTGATGATGATGCAGCCTTTAGCGATGACACATGTTGCCCTCTTCCTGTTTTAGGTTGGGCAAGGAGAACAACAGTCGGCTTTGACTATCAGATATGCATACATACCTATAAAGTCATATGATCATATTTCTACAATCCCCAGAGTAGTTAGGAGGGATAACGTCGGATTGTTCACAAAACCCAAAACTTTTTGGGCAAAAGTGACCGCAAAGTTTAGGTCACGAAACCAACTATTCTCGTAAATGCTTCCTACCCAAACTGCATAGTTAGTAGTCACGGGAAATGGTAAGACTGTTGAAAGAAACGACACATCATCATCATCAGCATCATCTAGGTGAACCCCAATCGGAAAGAAATACACAGAAGATGACTTTTCGGATCGAAACGCGCAATTCTTTGACAACTGGGTTTCATCATCAACCTAAGGGGTTTTCTGAACTGGGGAACTGAAAAATAATGGACTTTAGGTTTGCTTGACCACAGTTGTAACACCATTTCGATGCCTGTCTGCCACCCGAAGGAAACATGAGGACTGGGATACTGCTGCCAGGTTTCCCAAGCCTAGACAGGAGAAGTCGAGACGCAGTGGCCGGGTTCGAACCGAGGACTTTCCGATCAGTCAATCCGCGCTCCAACTACTGAGACACCTCGTATACAACTGAGACTATTCGGCGAACTCCCTGGAATTCTGGTTCTGGTTGGACGTAAACTCGGGAACTCCTGGAAGGGAGACCACTAGTGAGTTGTCGAGGAGTTTTCAGTAACCATACAAACGAGTGATGCGCCGCTTTGTTCAACCACATTCATTTGCGAACTGAGTGCTAAACCCAACGTCATGTATTCCACAAGCGGTTTCTTCTGGGTCATCATACACACGAAGAACAGAATATGAACGAATATTTTTTTGGAGAGACTGACCTGGAACCCAGCTGCATCTCTCGTTTGTGATGTTCTCAGGAAAAAGGCCAAATGGGTGAAGTGGTAAGGACAAACAAACGTCAGTTCATATAGACGCACTAAACACAAAAGTGGGGCGGGGGTTACAAATAGGGACAGAGGAAACGTGGGGAATTTCAATTGTCAAAGTAATGGACGTTACAATAAGGCTTTTAAATAAATCATGTTTGTACGGCAATCAAGCATCGGTGTTGAACACTGATGCCATGCTGTTGATGATGATGATGATAATGATGATGATGATGATGATGATGATGATGATGATGATGATGATGACGATGATGACGATGGTGATGGTGATGATGATGCAGCCTTTAGCGATGACACATGTTGCCCTCTTCCTGTTTTAGGTTGGGCAAGGAGAACAACAGTCGGCTTTGACTATCAGATATGCATACATACCTATAAAGTCATATGATCATATTTCTACAATCCCCAGAGTAGTTAGGAGGGATAACGTCGGATTGTTCACAAAACCCAAAACTTTTTGGGCAAAAGTGACCGCAAAGTTTAGGTCACGAAACCAACTATTCTCGTAAATACTTCCTACCCAAACTGCATAGTTAGTAGTCACGGGAAATGGTAAGACTGTTGAAAGAAACGACACATCATCATCATCAGCATCATCTAGGTGAACCCCAATCGGAAAGAAATACACAGAAGATGACTTTTCGGATCGAAACGCGCAATTCTTTGACAACTGGGTTTCATCATCAACCTAAGGGGTTTTCTGAACTGGGGAACTGAAAAATAATGGACTTTAGGTTTGCTTGACCACAGTTGTAACACCATTTCGATGCCTGTCTGCCACCCGAAGGAAACATGAGGACTGGGATACTGCTGCCAGGTTTCCCAAGCCTAGACAGGAGAAGTCGAGACGCAGTGGCCGGGTTCGAACCGAGGACTTTCCGATCAGTCAATCCGCGCTCCAACTACTGAGACACCTCGTATACAACTGAGACTATTCGGCGAACTCCCTGGAATTCTGGTTCTGGTTGGACGTAAACTCGGGAACTCCTGGAAGGGAGACCACTAGTGAGTTGTCGAGGAGTTTTCAGTGACCATACAAACGAGTGTTGCGCCGCTTTGTTCAACCACATTCATTTACGGACTGAGTGCTAAACCCAACGTCACGCATTTCACAAGCGGTTTCTTCTGGGTCACCATACACACGAAGAACAGAATATGAACGAATATACACTCATTTGCAAACTAATTTGGTTTTGCGAGAGACTCACCTGGAACCCAGCTAAATCGCTCGTTTGTGATGTCCTCAGGAAACTGAATGTGCTGCACCAGGCCGCCTCATGTTTCAGTCGCTACGATAATTGAGATCTAGCGATACACGTATATCTGGTAATGTGTTGGAATACTGGTAGCTCGGGTACATTCATTGGCAATCGATCATGTGGCTGTTGACCTGTTCGCCAAGATAGGCACTAACTGGCAGACATTTCGTCACCATTCGAGGAGACGTCATAACCCAACAGCACACTAATGATGCCGAGACGTCTGCAAGTCAGTTTCCAGGCTCGGCGAATAGATCAACAGCGACCTGATCAATTACCAACGCATGAAGTCTCGTGAGTATTGATTTTTTTTACTTGACTTAACCTCGTTATTTTGGTCGGTGCTTGGTCCTTTTTAGGTTTGGATAGAAGGGCACCTCCAACAATTTTAATGCGATGAAGAATTGTCCAGTATGCGTTCCGCCTGCCTAGCTGATCCATACGAGACACGTGTGAAGCTGAGTCGCTCTGATACAGGAGCCAATCTCCGTAAAGTAACTTGGCCTATAGCGTCGTAACTTAATTAAAACACCTGGTACAGGATGACACATGAACTAAGCTACCTAATATTGTTCACCTTGTTACACATGTTTCCTTGGGATTCTGTAGAAATAATTGAAGCCGCCAAATTTCAAAGAATATAAACGAGCCCAGTTCAAGATTCCTGACCATGCTCGTGTGTACGTACTTCAAAAGGCCGGCACAGATCGAATTTGATAGAGTGTAAGTTCTGGATTACCAGTCGATTTGCTACAGAGCATTGCCAACGCTTTTATACAGAAGAGATCTCGTGGATTTGACAATGTGTCGTTTTGTTTATTGTTCTTGGGCAGTGGGCTAGATGGTTGACAGCTGACAATCAAATGATCCGGTGACGTTTGCTTGCCGATTAGGAGGAGAAATCGGTGAATAAAGGAGTGTCGGATGGGTTACTCTAACACAGGAAGTAACTTTTCTGAAGTATCCAACCTGGAACTGTTGAATCTAAATTCTGACCCTCAAGCAGGTGGGGGGGGGATGGTTTTGTCCGGAAATCCAGTTCTGAACTCCCTTCCCGTAGAATAGCAACTAGTTGGGTTTTCTTAGCGGCTCCTGCCCAGAACCAATGAATCAATAGCCTGACATACTCGACTGCCAGGGCCTGGCTCAGCCAAGAAGCACACAGAACAAGTCTTGACCGCCTCCCTCCTGATACTATCATGCTTAGAATAGCAACGGTTGGTCAGTAGGTTTTAGCGGAATCCCGACCGTATTCAGTCTTTGAGTGATTGGGGAATGCGCGGTTTTGTGAACCGATCTCTTATAAGCCTTCTATCCTTGGAGAAATACAGAAATGGACGGGCTAGTCGCCTGAGAGAACCAACTTTTTATCCTCGTTTTCGTATCGTAGCGAACTAAGCTCGAGAGAGCACAATGGTTAAGGCTCGAACTTACTGAATCAAGGGTCCGTGGTTCTGTTCGAGATTGGGTGACCTTGAGGTATCTCATACCTCGTGCTTCCTTCGAGTAGTATGGCAGTTAGGCACCGAAAGGATGGACGTAAAAGACGGTATGATTGTTATCCTGGACCGACTCTCAATTCAACCGCTAGTAGTACGCGGTCACCTGGCGTGCTTGTATCTCGTAGAACGAAGTCCCGGCGTTGCATTCGCGTGTTTTTATTGTGGCACTGGGGTTCGACTACCTAGTTTAAGCCGGGCACTCCTGAACTAGGGTATGAGTAATTTTTCGGATAGGCTCTTGATCGCTCACATAAATATTTCTCATTGCGCTGATGCGCGCAACTGAACTGGCACCAATCTTTCACTAGTGTCAAGAACTGTGCAATCTAAGAAGATTTTCATCAGTCCCGAATGCACTACTATGTTTATTTAAGTAGCGCAATCTTGTTCGGACTCGCATGATGTGGTAGTGGAAAAGCACTTTTAATCTTAATGTGTTCATTCGATTTTTTGCTTTTTGTTTGTCCATCAATAACTGTTCAGCTTTGTTTCGTGCTGACAGCTCAAGATTGCGCACGTACAGGCCGAAAGGTCCGAGGTTCGAACCCGACCTCTGCCTCTCGACTGCTTAGGCTTGGGCGGTGTGGTAGTATCTCGGCCTTTATGCTTTCTTTGAGCGGTGTGGCAGATAGACATCGAAAGAATATTACAGCTGAACCATGCTACGAGCGGAGTGAATCAATGCTGGAAATTCGAGGTACACTGCAAAAGCCTTTCGTCTTTGCTAATAATACTCAGCAAAGCGTATCTTGCGAAACTCTGGAACATCGAACTGGTGACGTCCAGGCTAGTCGTCGGAGAGCATACCTCTTGTCAATGAGAGACTCATGATTAGTATGAACAACTCGCATTAAACAAGTTACAGCGCCATCTTGTGATGGAGACGGTTAGGATCGTTCCAAAATAAATAGTTCAACTTCGCTTCGCATCTTCTCTCGGAGTCTATATCCTGCTACCAACGTGAACTCTCTCAAAGATCCTACTGGCGGGATGCCATCTCCCATAGACATTCGCAAAATGATTAACCGAAAGTCGTTATTTTGATAAGTGATGGCATCTCGCGTCACTGGCCCATTTGCTGTTTTTGTCGACAATACGTTTTCAACCCACATTACTCATCATCACTTTGTGAAATCAACAGAGCCGGAGGTTTGGAACTTCTAGCTTACCGTGGTCGTGTTATTCCGGACAAGGTCATCGAAAATGTCGGATGTGGCGTACCAACTCCCATGATATTTTATCACTGTGAGTCTCCCGCCCAATGGATGACAGGAAACGATGGCGTAGTTTGAAATTGCATACACCACTACTCGGGGGTAATACGATTGATGTGACATCTCAAAGAATCCACTGAGCTTTGAATTAGAAACTGAAGGATAGGGTACGGATTGCGTCCCTATTATTTTCAGCTTTAAATCCGTTTTGTGTTCAGGCGCTGAGCCATTCGGGCCTAGACAGGAGCAGTGGAGATGTCGGGGTTAGGTCAGAGTAAGTTCACTGAGCTACCTTGAGTAGGCTTTTTCGAATTGTGCCGCAGCCGCAAAGCACACCAAAAAAAGAATGCGCACACCACAGGAAAAGGATGTCGTCCGTCGGACAGTAATGAACTCCACAACTGCGTGCGTGCGTGCGTGCGCGCGTGTGTGTGTATGCGTGCGTGCCTATTTGTGTTAGCAGTCTTCCGAGGCGTGCTATCGACTCAGCAGGCGACTCGCTTAAGCTGCTAACATTGTGGCCAAGTGGTAGTTTGTGACTGACGCATCGCCTTTCAACTCTCCGACCGCACAACTGTGGGGTCAATCGACGCAGCTAGAGGATAGCCTTGTATGTAGTTGGGACTGCCACACGACTCACATTGCAAGGTTTCCGGTACAAGTCCGTCCATGTTGAGAACCAATCATACATTGAAACGCTGACGCAGCATACTACTCAAAAGGTTGCTGAAAACTTCTTGATCATCATCAGCATCATCATCATCATCAAAGACGGCAACATCAGTGTTGGCACTGATGCTTCAATGCCTTAAAACTCCTTGATGACTTCATAACGCTCCTGAATTGCTGGTTAACGACATTCTTCATCGGAACATGCTGAACAAACGCCATCTCAATAAACAGTACTAAGAAGATTTCTGACCCTGCATTTTGTCAACCTGATCCCCCACCTGAGAGCGGAATATTGAAAATTCTCGTGCTACAGACATTTGCAAATTAATTTAGTTTTAACAGGGCATTTAGCTGAATGCAGTTAGATCTCTCGTTTAGGAATGTGTCAAGCTTACATTTCAGTTGGCAAGATATTCCAGTTGTCTCTTTGTTTTTTTTGCTAAGGAACGCCGTTGCGGTTGCTGGAAGCTGATAAATTAGTTTTCAGCAACCTTTTGAGTAGCATCTTACATCCAAGAAATATAATTAACAGTTGAAACATGATACGGCATTTGTGCAGCGCATTCAGTTGAGGAGGAGAATCTCTAACGACAGGTTGTTCGGTTCAGTTGAACCTCCAGTTGAAAACAAAACACTGTGCAAAAAATTGCATTCCACTAATGCAACGAACTGATTTTAAGTCATTCAGTACCACGATTTTGTGCCATGGCTAGGTTGGAAACGATTGGGTCGCAAGGTGGTTTTCGAAGCTCTTCCGGCTCTGACATGCTGATAGCTAGCTTCGGGTACCTCCCACCGAGGTGATAGTCTGCCCTTATATTAAACCGATTCAAGTCGCCGGTGTCCTTGTGTTCACAAGTAGTACCAAGCTGTACACGTCAAACCAGCTGAGCGAATCAGCAAGACCGGGTTAGCCGAATGTATAGAAGCTGCTTTTGAGACAGTTTTTACCGCAAAACACATCTATTAGATTTTTAAATCTTCAAAAGGATCCCTCTTGTTCATGAGTTGGTGGTTATGCGGAAAGGTCTCCTATGGCAAGACACTGTGTTCCTAGTCGAGAGAGAGCTGTGCATCAAGTACACCAGAGTTTATCATCTGTGGTACTCAAAGAAGTCGTAGTTATAGACACGTTTCCTAGCCAGACCAGGGTCCTTGATTTTCTGTAGAAATTGTACCTTGAACTCTTGCAGTGTTCACATGTGGCAGTTCCCTACATGGTGGTTGGTTTATTCGCTGAGCTAGGCTAATTGGTTGCAAAAGTTTCATCACTAATCGAGGTAACGTCATCAATGCTTCGGTAGTGAGTGCAGCGGAGGGTTTGTTAATATACGTGCTGCTGGCCTGGGCTTACCTTCG